GATGTGCGAAAATCGTATGAAGTATCGTTGCTAGGTTATTTTTTTAAATGCAGCTTGATAATTAATGGACTACAGTTACCAAATTTTGTTCAATGATTCCTGTTCCTTCACACATCCTACGTCTTCCATTACCATAGCGGCAGATGTTAGTGTTCACGACGAGTTTGAGGTTCGCTATATATATATATATATATATATATATATATATATATATATAAAGTAGGAACTTTGATAAATGAGATCCGTCACAACTCCCTTTCTTGTGTGGATGCGCACTGACAAATATTATATTAAAATGGGACAGCGTCAGTGTAGGCCTGAAGGAGTTTAAGGCAGAACGGATCAGAGAACCCAACTGAGTCTCTAATTAGCTGAATGGGTCACAACTCCCTTTCTTGTGTGGATGCGCACTGACAAGATGAATATTAAAATGGGACAGCGTCAGTGTAGGCCTGAAGGAGTTTAAGGCAGAACGGATCAGAGAACCCAACTGAGTCTCTAATCTAGATAGTTGAATGGATAGAATCGTTTCCTGTGTGTTTCATCTGAAGTGATGGTAGTAAACCCACTTCCGCAGCATTGTAACAGGCAGGCAGAACATGGGAAGCGACAAGCAGGTAGATAGGAACGAAGGATATGGTCTCATGATAGGCTAGTATACTTCTTGATGGTATAAAAAAGCACTGCAGAATGTCAATACGGCCATTGCACCGCACAAGATGATACAAATGAATTGGTCTTCTGATCAGCGTATATACTCAAAATTAACGGACCTTTTGATGCGAAAGGCGGGGATGCGGTCAAACATTCTCGTTTTGTGTGATGAGAAATCGAGGTTTTTAACCACGTATGCATTTGGGCATCTCAGCATGCACGCATAGGCTGTAAACTTGAATAGAAAAGTAAAATCTGGACAGAATGTTAGTAACTAAGAAAAGTATTTGTTGGCCGAAATGTGAATGAGCAACCTGAACATATCAGCTGGACACCTCATTTGTTCTACCAGATGACCCCGCAACCGAAATTCATTCATCAAGCGCCCAAATCAAGAAACATACCCCATAAATCAAGTGAAACTCTCCATAATTTTCACAAAACAGCTCCTTCAAATCAAGTAACACGGCTGCTGTAAACACCCCCTTAAGTTTAGGTTGAAATTTTAATATCGTATATTTTCATCTGACGTGAGTCAAAACATGCTTTTTGTGAGTTGCAAAATTCATCTTCACTTAGATAAACTTCATCTAAATAGAGAGTGTGAAATCCAAATTCACTGCCGTGATAGAAGCTTTCACATCAATTTTAGATAATTTTTGACACACCACAAAAATCAAGACTACGTGAGTGTGGTGCCATGTAGAGCACTGATTCGGGCCTATCTTCAGAACCCCACTCGTCACCTGTAAACAAGTGTTTTTATAGCTTGACATGCATATGTTAGGATCTTTAGCTACACCATGTTTCTGAATCTACTGTGATTCATCAACTGGACGTAGAGTGAGCAGAGGCATGGTGTTTGGTCAGACTATTGACCAGATGGCTATTCGCTCACCAGATGGTTCTCACAATATGGATGATCGTTTATTTGTAGCACCCTTTCGGTGTCTAGCTGCCATGACACCTGAGGAAGCATGAGGATCTTTAGCTACACCATGTTTCTGAATCTACTGTGATTCATCAACTGGACGTAGAGTGAGCAGAGGCATGGTGTTTGGTCAGACTATTGACCAGATGGCTATTCGCTCACTAGATGGTTCTCACAATATGGATGATCGTTTATTTGTAGCACCCTTTCGGTGTCTAGCTGCCATGACACCTGAAGGAAGCATGAGGGCTGGGATACTTCCAGGTTGCCCAGGTGAAGTCGATCTCGAACCAATGACCTTCCGGTCAGTAAATTCGCGCTTTAACCCCTGGGCTATCTCAACCTCCGACACAGCCGAAGAATTTCAACTTTGGTTTTATCACCTGGTAGCTTGGTACCAGTGGAGAACCTCGAAGATGATCTATCAACGACAATAATAATAAATTAAGCAGCCTGATACTAAAAACATACGGCTCACATGCCTAATTTCCCTTCACCCATCTGATAAGTTTCAATAAAGGACTCGACAACACCGTTACTATAAACACCCCGTGAATTCCATGCCTTGGTTCTTGTTGGGCTTTCATTAAAATCGAGGACTAATCGGATAAAACACTCGCACCGTTCACCGGCGGATGGATGGCTCTCAGAGCTCTACATCGAGTTGCAGATCGGTATTCCCAACAAGCCCGGCCATGTGTAAACCCAAGCGCAGAAACCACTGAAGGTGTTCAGGCTAGAAACTGTGTTGACAACCATACCGTGCGAATGAAAAACCAGTTGACTTCATTAGATGAAAGACAGTAGGGGGAACTCATGACACAGTGCAAATCACAGCTCCCTTTGCACGTGCCGGGTATTCGTCGATGCGAAACACGCCAAATGAAAATTGGGCCACGTGAAATGCGCCCTTACCCTGCCTCCCGCAACGCACACGTATCAAGTACGGTATTTCATCCCGGAAATGCGTTATTACATAAGAAATCAATGGCATCTTGCATGTGACCCGCGGGAACAAGTTTATTTGTATCAGTGGAACTATTTGCATGACGCTGCGTGTTACACCTACTGAGATAGCAAATCACATTCCATGCGTAGGAATCTAATGCATTCTTGTTTCTTTCTATTTAGCACCTCACTTGTCCAGCCTGTCGCTGTCAGTTTGTGAGACTTGACTGATGTTCGGTTGAACATTTCCATTCCCCACACAATTTGCCAAACATTGGATGTTGGACGCCCGAAATCGATCCCCAGCTATATCTCCTACGCATTTTTGATCGGTTATTCCATGTGAGTGATGTACACAATAGCAGTTTTTAATTTTCTCCAGGTACCGGGTAATAATAAATAGACTATCCTGCTATGAAAACTATCTAACGACTCTTGTGTAGCGTCTCCCTCACTAGTAAGACATTTTGGTGGCTTTCAGCCACTCTTTTTCCCCTCCCCATAATACGATCATCTCTCTGATGCAACCAGATTTACCTAACTTTTTCGAGGTATTAACAGAAGAGGGATATTGTATCTGATTTTTCGCATGCTACTGATGCTAGGAAGATGTAATTTGAACCACTGTACAGGAAAACGGAATTAAAGTTACGGAAAGAATAGAGAGGTTTTTCACATCTCTTTAACTCATTCAATATGATGAGTAAAATAGATGGCTTCTCTAACCGGCTCCAACTTTTTTATGAAACTTATCACTGGATGCCAATGGGAACATCAAAAAATCTCGTTACAAAAACGAATGAATATACCTACTGCAAACTACTAGCATAAATTCCAACTAATTAGTACCCTTCTTGACATCCATATCAAACCAAAACATGCACTTGGATTCATCAAGCATGCGCCAGAAGCAACACCCACTGGACCAGCCAATTCCATGTGAGAAGTTCCCTCTGAAGGGAATCCGACCTACAATAAGTTCTGGACTATTTACATTATTATACGGTCAGTGGCCTTAAGTTACATTACTATATGGGACTCTCACACAGAGTATTGTTGATCGCTATCGCAATATTATAGTTCCGATCGGTCTGGTTTACGCCGTCATGTCCTCGTGATCTTTCGGACTCTGTAACTGCCGTTTGTAAGAATAATTGTTCAATTCTTACATAAGTACATGACACTCGTGACACAGCCGTCTCTTAAGGTTTGTCTTGTCCCGCGGTCCCCATTCGGGTAAACGGCATTTAGCAGCGCTACTCGGTTGACTGGTAAGAAATTTCATGCTTCGTTGACAGGTCATGAACTGACTGTCCCTGAATGGCCTCCATCCGACACAAGGCCGGGCGAACAGGGCTGCATGAGACAAACAGTCCTCTGATATATGGAGTTCATGACCTAATCAACGTGCCCTGTGACCAGCTGACCTACCGAGGGAGAGCGAACCTCCCTGAAGGCCACCTGGCAGACTTTAGCGTTACTGATCGAACGTTCTCACCAGCCTCACCCAATGCTTCGGAGGCACCGATGGTCAAACACAAAGAGTATCCGAAGTTCTGCACACAGTGGACACCTCTCTGATCCATGAAGTAGGATAGATCGGGCCGTAGCATTATACACTCTACCCTTGACAGCCAAGTTGATGTCACTTTGGCACCATAAACGTCAGATGTTAGCAAATGCTGCGCTGCCCTTCCCGATTCCGGAAGTGGTTTCGTCTTTCACCAGTCCGCCGGGACTTATATGACTTCCAAAAATAGACAAAATTATCTTCCACATCGATCGGCCCAGTCGTCAGCATGAGGCTTGGGTTCGATCCATCCCAATCTTGCAGTAGCACCTTACACTTTACAGATGCAAGGAGACGCCGAACTGCGCAGCAGAACTATCTAGTTTCTGTGAACTGTCGGCATTTCTAGAGGGCCTGATCCAGAGAGCAATCGCATCGGTGAAACCACTGTCCGTGAGCGAACGCACCGGGAGTGTTTCGCTTACTTAGGCGTTAGAGGTAAGTAAAGAAGATAAAAACAGTATATCGATTACGAGGTTGAGGAGAAAGGGCGATAGAGGACATCCTTGCCTAAAACCATTGGATATGATGACATCAGGAGATAACTTGCTGTAGACAAGTACGCACCCATAGGAGACATAGAACTTCATAAGAGGTACGAATTTAGAAGGGATACTCATTACCAACAAACACCGCCACTTTCTGATAATTAACGGAGTCAAAAAGAGACCTGAGATCGAGAAAGACGATCAATGTTAGTCACCGGAAGGATTGACAGTTCTAGCACCCGTCGCAAAATGAAGATGTGATCGACACAACCCCGACCACAGCGAAACCCAGCCCGATTCTTGCGAATTCAATAGACCCTTTGACATAGGACTTGTAGATTGTTGGGTCGCAAGGATACAAGATAAAGTTATGGAAAACGGCACAGAGAACGTGATTGAAGACCTAAAGAGATAGAAATCTCCTTGATTCCGTTAACCCATTAGGGTCTCCCAAAATACAAACCACCAAACTGACGAAATCTCCTCCGTTTATGGAATGATTGATTCATAATGAACTTATCCATTTCGACAAGACTACTTTGGGGCTTTCCAGTGAAAACAGACACCATCAAATGGTCGTGAAACGGCATTACACAACTGAATCAAAATGGGATATACGTCATGCACAGTGACAATTCGACAGGTTCTCGTCATTTTGAAGATGAATCTGAATCGCCAGAAGAAAAGCAAAAGCCAGCAAGCAAAACACATCAACGTGGTGAGCAAGTGAAGATATCTGACAAGAAACGAAACTAATCCGGACTTGGTCATTGCGAAACGTTCCTCCACTTAAGGAAAGACAACTAACGAACAGCGTCGCACTTGATCATGATGGTGCTCAAACAACCAGAAAATAGTTAGGTTGATTTATCGGTTGGTTTGGGGGTCGACAGAACACTCCATGGTGTCAAGGTTCAAATAAAGAACGTAACCAGTACTAGGAGCGTGGATTTAACCCTCAAAACGAGGCGAGATAAAACCGGGATAGCACTAGTCATTCCAGAATTAACAAGGCGTGATCAGAGTCCCCGTGTGTGTTGACAAACACTAAAACAATACACGGTCGATACCGTCCAGTGATATTCAAAAGCGAACTATCGCGCTGTGAGATTTTTCAATAAATATCTCTGGTAACAAATGCAACATACCTTCACCGCTAAATAAGTCATAAATTACTGTACAAAAAACAGCGATGAATGCAGTTTTTGAAATAAAACGTCAAGTAGGATGGAACACGGCATCAACAGTTGATCGCGTTCAAAATAAATCATCATCACTTTGGTCACTGAGCTGAATGACATTCCCATCAAGGTCTTTTCGGCACAAAGGACACAGACCATGCTGAAAAAGAATGTGCAATATGTCATAAATCCGCTCAGAATTATGCCGGCGAATGGATTGGTAAGGTAATGATCCTCCAGAGAGACTTCTCTATTCGACTACAGTCACCAACCTAACCGATAAAGTGATCATTCCTACTGGTGGTGATTTACGATGCTGCGGTGCAAATTCAAAATAATAAAAAGACTAAATTCCCAAAAGTATTCCGAAAACACTACCACAGCCAGGTGGAAAATCGTGGTAGGAAATTCATGGGTCCCGATTGAGATTCATACAAACGACGTCGACGGATCTTGAGAGCGATTAATGCCAGTGATTCTTGTCGGTCTAAGACATAAAAATGTACAACTACGGTTCGACATACATATTACTTACGAAAAGGTTACAATTTGTACATCTGGGAAAAATCTGAAGCCGTTCGTTTCCAGACCCCATACATACAAGTGGACATCTGTCGGACAATCAGCTTCCCATCCCCCAACAAAATATCCTCAGGTAGATGTAGCTAGTGGTGGTAAAAAAACGAAAACTTCAACTTAACGGACGTCGAAAAGGTGGCGATCGATTGGTGCAAGCATACTGGTAAATACAAATTACTAATGCTTCTGCATGGTGCGTATCCCAGATATTCTGTCTTAATAGACCAGAATTATCGTAGTACCAAGGCACAGTGAAATCACCGAAATTTTTTAAGATCCTGAGCATAGACAGTGGCCTGGATCCAGGTGCCTCAACTTGGTACCCGTGGGCAGGAAACTCGGTCGTTTTGGTTAACACACAGTATCGTACATGAAGGGACGGGATGAAATTTAGCAAAAAATTTATGGACGGTGATTGAGAGTTGATGGTGAATGCTGCGGTATTGATGAAATTAGATCAATACAAAAGAAGTGAACTCGTCAAAGGCGCGCTGCTGTATAATATCTGACGTTTTTAAACAAAAGAAAAATCCATCGCACTGAAATTTTTCGAAATCCTAAAAAATAGGTACGCAAGTTGCCTATGAACCTGGTTAACAACTGCATTAAAAATTTCATTAAAAAGTTTTTGGGAAACTGGGTAGCGTTTCGCTTTTGATACAAAAGCTTCGTCCGACCAATTGACTAGGCTACGAAGTTGGTCGAGATTGAGGGCCGAAGTATAACCAATCAGCTGATTCAAGCTAAATCGGTGTTAGGTGCCGGTTAAAGGATTTTATTTTTTAGGGTGGGTCGGCAAGTGTTAAAACCGATGGATTTAGGCCCAAGTTAGGGTTTGGTTCTCCCGGTTTTCTTTCCGTAAAGATCCCCCTGAACGTCGCGTACACTTTTTCCGTCTATGCAGATGAGCTAGTACAAAGATAATTATGTAGGGAAGAGGGATTCTGTGATCTAAGGTCGAATCGGGCTTTCAACCTCCTTTTGCTAATGATTCTACGTACACTGACAACTACAAACTGTCAGGTGTCAACTCGGCTTATCTAAGACCGCTCATCATACTGTGATGTCTGGTGAATGCCATTATTCGGTCATCATGCGCTGCGGCATGAACTACAGTCCCAAGACATCTACATTCTCCAGGTCTATTCTGTGTCCGAGTCTTTGGCCAGCGCTCCTCCAGTGCAGCATTCCTTTGCCAATTCTGGTGTATAGTTCTCTGACTGTTTGTCTCCTATAAACGACACTGCAATCCTTGCATTTAATTCTATACACAGAGTCCCTAACTAATCCTTTCAATCGGGAGGGGATCTTTCAATGGCACCAAAATTGAGCGTAAAGTTCTTCCCTTTTGAAAGGCTGTTTGAATTTCGGTCACGTTCAAGACTTTTCGAATAACCTCATATGTTCCTAAAGGAAGCTACTCACAAGGTTGCTGAAAACTCTTCGACAGCCCACGACCGGTTCCGGCCTTCATGGTAGGCCTTCATCAGGTAGGCGCAGTTCCCGAGTTTGCGTCAACCTTATGTTCTACTTAAATCCAAATCGGACTGTTTTCATAAGGGAAACTACTCACAAGATTACCGAAAACTCTTCGGCAACCTTGTGAGTAGTTTCCTTTATGAAAATACACTGCGATATCTCGAATATCGTGTCAACTGAAACATGAGGCGGCTTGTGTGCGACGCATTCAGTTGAAGAATATCCTAAACGAGAGATTCAGTTGAGTCTGTCGTGAAAACCAAATTGATTTGCAAATGATTGTATTTCTCAGATGTTCCTGTTTTATATGGAATAACTGGTGTACCAATGCGTTCCCTACTAGGTCTTGATACCTGGGCCGATATCTTTCTTAGTTACCGCCTAATCAAACTGACGGAGTATTCTGCTTCTTGAACCCTGTTGGTAACCTCGATTTGAGTTGTCGTTCAGTCGGTCTCTTCTGATTCGGCTAAATATTGATGAGACGAAACTAGCATACATAGACTTTGAATTTGCTGATGAGTGGTTTGCAACGGTTCCCGGGTCTGTTGGTTTCTGGCAGATCGTAATTTTCACATTCCCGCCACTATTATGTCATACAGTCCAGAAAGGGTAGTGTGCCCGAGGTGGGCTCTATCACCATGCTAAAATTGATACAAGGAATCAAACTATTAAGACTCGCAGAATTTGTTCACCTCATCACGTTTGGTCACAACAAAGGTGTCACCAACATAACGCCAGAAAGTCCTTTGGCAGAGGATGATATCCACCCAAAGCCATTTGTTCAAAATCCTCCATATAAATATAAGCTAAAACTGTGGATACTGGAAAGCCAATTGCACGGCCTTGTGCTTGTGAGTAAATAGCCGTGCCAAAAAACTGCTCAAGACTAGAACATTCTTATGCCCTTCGTCCAACAACAGCTGCGTCCGTTCCTTAAGTGTCGTGTGTGTCAGCCTCTTGGTTGCATCCAAATTACCCGGCCTGGGGATGTCTGTGTACAGAGATGACGTCAAAACTCACAAGGATTTTGTCGGTCTCCTAAACTTTTCCGAAAGCGACAACTTCTCAGTCGCTTCCAAGCATTTTTCATAAAACCAGTTTGGTTGCCGTTGGATAGACAACACACACCAGTATATTCGTCATAAGCGAAGGCGTACGAGGGAGACATGCGTCCCATCTACAAAAAATAGTTTGATTGAACTTGAGTCAAAACAATCTCCAACTAAGCAGATATACGACCAGTCACTTATCCAATTTTCTTCGTGGTAGTTCTATCGGATGTAATTGTATGTCAGATTATATTACGCCGCGAGGATAAACATGCTTCAGAATGGGTGTTTTTCAACTAAATGTGAACCGCCCAAAAGATACGCGTACCTGAAGCAACCACTGCTGCGCACAATCATGGTGATATACGTGTTCACATGGTAGCTTTATACAAAGTGTTGCCGGCTGGAATGCTTCAAGGCAAATCACACACTGTCCACTGGAGGCGGCTTCCGAGACGCTGAGCTCAAAAGTGGTCAAATTACTCATCTGTTGTTTGGAAGCCGGAGCCGGTCCAAGGGTAGTCCGGAGCATGCGGTGCAAACGTCGCATAATATTCTTCGCAACTGAAAGAGATACAAGAAAAGTTGGTTTGTTAACCATGTTCCGTGGTTCATCAGAGGAAGACTTCCTGCTTGTTTTTGTTCTTGTACCGTCCACCAGAAAAACGCTTTAGACTTTAAAGGCCCAACCGGACATCGAAAAGCTCCGATAAAAGAGGCTACTTCGTAACGTGACTAACCAAACGGACTTGGAAGAATCAAACACGCAACCCTTTGATCACCGGACTCAGGCTGTTCACTGCAGAACCGCGCGTCCATCTGCCGGTTTACACAGTCACCTACTTTGATTTAAGGAGAGATTCTTGGTTTAATAAGCTGTTGAAGTATTCCATGGGACTATGGGTACGACTGCCTGCTCCAAATAGTTACCAATTCCCGCAAGGGACGTCGTATTTATCAAGTTCAGGATTTTAGCGAGGTGTGTCGATTCAATGCAGATCTAAAAAACTTCATCGAATAAACCCAACATACGTCAATCTAAGCTGACCGTTTTATGCAGTCGCGCCTAATAAACAGAATAAGGCTATGGCTGTCTTAGTAGAGCGTTGTTGACAGTGAACAGAGTTGTTTATTTAGAGCATGGGGTCCGTCTTTGGAGGCCAAACCAACCAACGAGTGATTCCGTATCACAATGACAGTGTTACAGTATTTTTCGCTTTTCAGCACAAGGAAGTTTACTGATTAACTTCCAACTGATGAACTTCTAATTAAAAGTTTGCAAACATTTGCTGAGCATTCAAAAAGAAGACAAAACTACTAGATTCTAACTCACAAAATGAGTGAAAGAATCCGGGTTAACCGAATTCATCTACCAGGATAACTGACAAGTATATCAGTGTTTTAAGGCAGCGAATCACGAGCATTCACTTTTGATGTTCCTTTCAATCAACACACTCAAATATCATGTTATCCTTCTATTATGATAGTTATGCAAATCCCAGTGCAACTAACAAAGCAGTGTCTACCCCCACCCAACAGACTTCAAAAAAGACTACGTCACTCTGATCCACTGAGACTTGGCTGGAGATCAGCTTTCACAGATCATGCCCAATTCCCCACAAAGACCACACTGAGTGCCCCAGTGGGTCAGGATCCTCTTCCATCTAGAACCGGGATGTGAAATTCGAGGTACACACAATATTACCTGCTGGTGCGGTCAACAGAGGGTGCTCCCCAAATAAGACAGGTGCCTCAACTAAAACTATTCAGGCCATCCCTCATGACTGGTCTGTGAGCGAAGGGATGATGATACACAAATCAAAGAAATTCCGGAAATTTAGTGAACCTGTAGGTGGACTTACTGCTCGGTGCTTGAGGAGCCAGTCAACACGCGTGACCGTGTGATGTGGATCCTGTGATTGAAGGATGAGCGGCGCTATACCCTAGGTGCGACTTAACCACAGCTGACCATCATCATCATTGTCAGCTGTAATAACCACGTACTCCGTCAACCTTGTTCTACTTGAAACCAAATTGCACGAAATTAGCGAATACACACTCATTTGCAAACTAACTGGGTTTTTCGAGAGACTCACCTCCCCGGAAACCCGGGGACTGCGCCCACCTGATGGGACCCAAAAAGGGCGAAACCGGTCGTGGGCTGTCAACGGATTTTCAGCAACCTTATGAGTAGTACATTAAAAAGATAGTTAACTAAATTTGGATGTTGACTAAGCCTGAAGACATTTCTCCTTCAAACTAATAATTCGAATATGAACTGATGCTTCTCATGTGTCAAATAATCAAGACATGATAACCACCAATGAACAGCAGCACGTAAAAGTTTGAGAAGCAGCCAAGGAGATAAACATTGGGAGGTGATAAAGTTAGATGTGGTTAACAAGATGTTGTGTTATACGTGTAGAAACGTGTGTAGAAACTGAAACTGTATCGAATTCCGAAAAGATATTTCTTATCATTCGGTGGATTTCGAAAATCCGCAATATTGGTATGTTCCATGCTGATGTTTCAACCAGAAACAAAATGGACGTTGTTCGAGGAGCCAGTAAACATATGTGACCGAGTGATGTGGATCCTGTGATCGAAGGACGAGCGGCGCTATATCCTTTCTAAGTGCGAGCCAGTCGCACTGCTGATCAGCCGCACGTGGCCAAGTGGTTGTGTTAAACTCTAGCATTGGGGTCGCGGATTCAAGACTCTCCGGAGTTTCGTGAGATGCGCACTGCTGATTATCCCCAATAGGGATGAAACGGCTGTACAGTGCTTCTAGACTTTTCAGCATAGATTGGCTTCACTTACAGGATGAAATCTCCACAAAAACACAAATCTCTTCATACTACCAACAACGAATAAAATATACAGAGTGAAGTGGTTAGAAAAACTTACCAGGAACTTCTACTAAGACTTTATTCTGTTTATTTCGAGAGCCGCGAAACACCTCGCATCTGTTTTTGGGAATCACCAGTAGTGCGTATATCACAGATTCCTAGAGACTAAAACCCAGAATCTTCCGGTCGGCAGTGAATTCCTACACCATTCCGCCGGAGGTGAGAGAATGCCATATAACTTGCAGTTGCACATGATACGAGGCCACTCATTTCCCAGTTACGTAGTTCACATACAGCGGTCACGGATCAAGTGTATCACCGAGGAAAGACCTCTAAGGTAAAGAATCCATGCGATTCGTGACAGTTCCCTTCTGAACAGATTATTTCTATGTTGGTGGTGGCAGGAAGTTCTGAAGAATGAAATCATTTCATCTTTTAACTAAAAATTTCAAACACATGACTGGAATACAAATGTATACTTCAAATTATCTATTCCGCACTTCGTTAAAGTTAAAAAGAAGACGATCTTCTAAGGCGAGAATCAGGTTCGTTGTCGATCAGAAGTGTACATTATTCAAGGCAACAATCTAGCGGAATGACTCACATAGCTGCACAAACAACCTTTCCGGAATCGAAGGAGAGCTGGAACGTATAGGAGGTCTGGGAGCTTCAAATAAACCTATCGAAGTTGATCTGCAGGCAGTGGGCCTACTAGAGGATTCTCTTTGTGCTTCATCCTGGACCCTGGAAACTTGAGATGAAATAGTCTGATGAACTCCAAGACGTAAAAATGGCTGACATACTTCTGGAAAAATTCCAGTGAATAAGCATCCAGAGTGCCTGCAATAAAAACTATGCGGAAATTTCCGACTTTTGCTTACCGCACGGGAATGGCCTCAACGAAATCAGACATACAGAGAGAGCAAAGCAACTGAGGCCATAGCTTGTCCTGAATGAGGTTTGTTTAGAACGAAGAAGTTTTACCTGATCGATTGGAGTGGTTTCGTGACCACAGGCATGACAAAAGTAGGAAGCACCACTAGTTCCGCAGGTTGCCATCACTAGACTTGTCTCAGAGGGTAGCCGAGCAAACTGGCACTACGGATGTACTGAGAAAAAAACGGACAAACAGCTGTCGTGTGTGGAGTCAAAAAGTTAGTGGGTTAGAACTAGTGAGATTATAAAATTCGGCAGGTGCTTATCGAAAAGGATCACTTGTCCAAAAATACGGCAATCAGAGAAAAAAAAATTCATCATCATCATCATCAACGACAGCATGACATCAGTGCTCAACACCAATGCTTCACTGCCGTACAACCATGACTTATTTGAAAGCCTTATTGTAAAGAAAAGA